TCCCCTCCCTTCCCCTCAGGCCCCTGCGCAAGCCGCCCGGCTCCCTTCCTCCCCCGGTAGCTGGCGCTTGGCCTGCCCCCCGCCGCGCGTTCCCTGTGGCGGCGGCCGGCCCTTTCCCGAGGCCCTGGGACTCCGGCCTGGCTCGCCGCCCCCATCCCCACAGCGGTGGCTTTGCCGGCCCCCTTCGCCCGCCCCGACCGCAGCCCCCCAGCGGTGGCTTGGCCTTCTTAACCCCTGCGGCAGGGAGCTCGACCTTCCCTGCCGCCCGCTAGCCGCCTCCGTCCCCCGTAGCAGCCGTGTCCACCTCTGTCGCAGGCCTGGCGCTGCTCTTGCCCAGCGGAGCAGGGTGCGTGCCGGGCTGCCGGGCACCGATGGCGGGCTGCTGCTCTGTTGGGGGCCAGGGCCTCGTGGAGGTCGTGTGCTTCCTGGGTGCCGAGAGGGAGGCGTTGACCTGCCCTGTCTCCTCAGGGGATGGGGGACAGGGTGCCGGCTGTGGGTGAGACAGGGCTCACAGGCCTACAGACAGCGAAGCCTCAGTGCCACGTGCTTGGGCACCTCGGGATTTCTGTGGTGGGGAGAGGGGTGCCCTACGCAGATTAGGCAGGCCTCGGTCAGGATGCTGGTAGAGGGACCCTGCCTTGGCAGGGAGGGGAGCTACGAGACTGGACCTTTCTGTCCTTCCCTTTCCTTTGGAGACAGCTTCTTTGGTTCATCGTGTGCCTTTCTGTTGTCCAGATGCTTCTTTGCCACCTATTTCCTGCCTGCAACCCCTGGCTTGCCGACTCCCCTGTGACTTGCACTGTTGCATCAAGTAGCCAGTCCCTGGCCTTTCACATAGGCTGGCTGGTCACGGGGCTCAGAGCCCCACGACCCCGTTTCTGTAACACAAGTGAGCTGCTGCAGGTGTGCTGTGCCTGCGTTCATCATGTGTGTTCTGGTGCAGCTCATGGGGTGCAGCTGTGGTCAGTATCCGCCGGGCTTCTGTTCCCGATAACCTCAGCTCACCTGTTTGTTCTCAGCTTTTCTCTGGGGTACTGCCTGTATTTTTTATTTCATCCTGCCGTAACACCAGCCCTGTTCCTTCCACCGCCTGCCTGTCAGGGCCCAGACTGCCCTTCAGCAGTGTTCGTGCTGTAGGTACATGCTGACTCCTCAGCATGAGTAGGGCATTCTTGCTGATTTTTTGGATATGCCTTTTCAGGATTTCCAACTCTGATAGCACAGAGTGCCCTTTGGAGGAGAGGCTGTAGCTCATCGTGGTGAGAGTTTCTTGGTGCAGCAATTATAGTGGGAGATTTTTAATGGATATGTTTTCCTTTTCAGCACTGCAGAATGGAGAACTATAAGAAGACCAGAATCGTGGAGAAACCATGTCCTCTTCCTTTCACCGACCTGCCCCCTGATATTATTGAAATGAAAGTGAAGGACGGCAGCAAAATCAGAAATCTGATGGGCTATGCCATCAGGAAGATGGAGCAGGAATCGGTGAGACAGATCCTTTTCACTGGCTCAGGCAAGGCTGTCAGCAAGACCATTACCTGTGTGGAAATCATGAAACGAAGGCTCAAAGAGCTGCACCAGATCACCAAAGTGCTCTTCAAACAGATCGAAGAGATCTGGGAACCCATTGTGCCTGAGGCAGGCCTCGATGCCTTGACAGTGAAGAGAAACATTCCTGCCATATGTGTCCTACTCAGCAAAGACGCCCTCAATCCTCAGGAGCCGGGGTACCAGGCTCCAGGCTCTTTTGATGCCTTCTGGATCGAGACACTTAAAGCAGAGTCCCAGGGCCAAATGAAGAAAAAGAAGGGTGGCGGCAGAGGAGCTGGCAGCATGGGAAAGCACCCTTGGTCCACTGGAGGAGGGCCTGGGGAGTCCTGCGCCAAGTCCTGAGACACTGGCACCACATTTGGGTGTAGTTTGGGGGAGTTACGGAAACAAGCCAGCTGCTGTAGCTGGAAAGCTGCTGCTGAACTTGCAGAGTTGTTGGGGGAGGGCAGGAGAAGTTAAGTGTTTCAAAATGGATGTGATTGTAGCTATCTGAAACTGTGTTTTGACAAGTTCCCTCGTCAAAGGCTGCCAGGCTGTAGTCCTTAGCCCGTGGTTCAGGGAAGACGGGAGGTGTCTCTGCTTGAGCAAGGACCATTGATGTCTTGTCAGTGAGCCCTGGTGAGCGGCTGCTCACTGAGCAGGGTTTCAGCTGCTCGGGGCGGTGCAGCAGCCCATGCAGCAGGTGTGCATGCCAAGTGCCTGCTTTTGTGGCAGGGGAAGGTGGCTCTTGCTGTGATACAGAGGAGAGATGGGACCTGACATGGATTTCCCCAGCTGCCACCTGCGTCGCTGGAGCTCATGTGAGTGGGCAGCGGGGCACAGGGCTGGGTCAGCCACTTCTTCTGTGCTTCGAAGTCCATCTGTTAAGCCCATCAGGCAGTTTGAATGTGGGACTGCAGGAATACAACTCCGTCTGCAATTGTGTGCATGTAGTGCCCTTTCTGTCCTCCTTTCATCTTGGTGATGCTGACGGTTACACCTCTCTCTGCCAAAGTGGCAGGAGTCGAATCATTTCATAACCAGCCTGAAATCCTGTAGCTGCATGAGTGCCCTGGGGTGGTGATAATGTTAAGCTCCAAAGGACCCTGTTCTTTCCCTTTTCTTCTCCTTTATAATGCACAGAGATGGGTTTAAAATAAAGTTTCCTCTTCATGTAACATGAAATTTGTCATGTCTTCCTCATCCCACTGGAGGTCACCCTGTAAGCGTTGGCGATTGGGCTGCAGCTGCCGGCTGAAGCTCTGCTCTTTCAGCTTTCCTTGAGGAAGGGAGGACCTGCTGTTCCACGTTTGTTCCTCTCATGACTGTAAATGGACCCTGATGTGAGGGGGGAAGGTTTTCTTCCTGCCTTTGCTGTTCCCCTTTAATATCCAAGAAAGATCAAGGTTGGGTTTTTTTTCTGGGAAGCTTTTTGCTATTTTTTGTAGTTGTTGTTGTTGTTCTTTTAAACTGACTAGAACTACAGCCTCAAAAACAGTCGGCCCAAATTCTGCCGAGTGAGGCAAAGGACAAAGCATCTTTTCTTGCCAGTAGTTTCCCTTCTGGAGCAGCTCTGGTAAGTAAAGCTGGGCAGGAAGAAAGTGCTGTTCCCTGTGACAGGCTGAGCTCTCGCTGGAACTGCCCCTGCTCACTGTGTTCCCAGCGCTACCTGTTCTGCCCGCTCTTCCTGGGTCACTGCCTGTGTTGGCGAGCTCCAGTTGGACCTGATGCTCTGCTTTGTCAAGTCAGTGGGAAACAATACAAGCATTTAAAGAAGGGATTTTTACTTAAATTGGCGGAGCAGGAGAGAGACAGTGCGTTACCCGTGTGACCTGACACCTGCACAGACATGACTTTGCCCTTGCCTTGCATCAGCAGGAGCTTTCTCACCAGCCCAGTGCCCGGTGCAAGCTGGGGCAGTGCCAGGTTTACATGCCTTGTCCTCCTCCCCTTCCCTTCTGGGTCTTGTTGCGCTCTGCCCTGCTGTTGTCCCCAGAGCTAACGAGGTGGTTGAGGAGATGCCCAGACCTCTGCTGTGCCAGAGCAGGTGAGAGCTGGGGATGGGGTAGAGTTCTGCTGATCTGTCTTGGTGCTGTTCCCAGCTGCTGCTCCCTTACATAGAGTGAATCACAGAATCATAGAATGGGTTGGGTTGGAAGGAACCTTAAAGATCATCTGGTTCCAACCACCCTGCCATGGGCAGGCACACCTTCCACTGGACCAGGTTGCTCAAAGCCCCATCCAACCTGGTCTTGAACACTTCCAGGGAGGGGACATCGACAACCTCTCTGGGCAACCTGTTCCAGTGCCTCAGTACCCTCACAGTGAAGAACTTCTTATATATAATCTAAATCTGCCCTCTTTCAGTTTAAAACTGCTACCCCTTGTCCTGTGACTATGGTCCCTGTTAAAGGGTCCTTCCTCATCTTTCCTGGTGGCCCCCTTTAAGTACCAGAAGGCCACTAGAAGGTGTCACTAGAGCCTTCTCCAGGCTAAACAACCTCAACTCTCTCAGCCTTTCCTCACAGGGGAGGTGCTCCAGCCCCCTGATCATCTTTGTGGCCCTCCTCTGGACCTGCTCCAACAGGTCCATGTCCTTTTTATGTTGGGGACCCCAGAGCTGGACACAGTACTCCAGGTGGGGTCTCATGAGAGCGGAGCAGAGGGGGAGAATCACTTCCCTCAACCCACTGGCCACACTTCTTTTCATGCAGCCCAGGATACGGTTCGATTTCTGGGCTGCAAACGCACATTGCCAGGTCATGTTGAGCTTCTGGTAAACCAACACCCCCAAGTCCTCCTCCTCAGGGCTGCTCTCAGTCCATTCTCCTCCCAACCTGTATCTGTGCTCGGGATCACCCTGACCCATGTGCAGGACTTTGCACTTGGCCTTGTTGAATTTCATGAGGTTTGCACAGGCCCACCTCTCAAGCCTGTCAAGGTCCCTCTGGATGGCATCCCTTCCCTCCAGCGTGTCACCGGACCACAGAGCTTGACGTTGTCAGCAGACTTGCTGAGGGTGCACTCAATCCCACTGTCTGTGTCACCGACAAAGATGTTAAACAGTGCTGGTCCCAATACCCACCCC